AAGATATATAATAAAAATTTTTATATTTAAATAAATTCTAATATCTAATAACTTAATTAAATAAGATAGAATTAAAAATTTTATTTTGAAAAAATAATTTATTAATATTTATTTGATGTTCTAATCTTTTTGTACCAGACCATATATACATATATAACAGTTTCATCCTGAGCAATAATTTAATTAATGTTTGTATTACAATAGAATTATCTTTCAATAATCTGAAATATCAATATTCATGTTCTGAATAAAGAAAATTATGTGAAAGAATTCTTTTATTAATTGATATTATATGATGATAAAATTTTGTTATGTTGATCATTTTTGCATTTTTGGTTACTAACCATATATTAACTATATTAGCTCACATGTCCGTAGTTTTTGCTGACAAAATTTCATTTCAAAAGTAACCTAATTCTCTTTTGATAGTGACCTTCTTTATTTCTATCTCTTCCTCAAGTATTGGTTGAAAATATAAACCATGTCACTTACCTGTTCTGCAAATAAACTTTTCCAGCGCCGTCTGACACTTTGTTTTAAGAATTCTAATGTGAGAATAAAGTTTAGGGTGCTTGACTTAGGTTTAAATAAGAGATGTTTTTCTTCTGCTACAGTACCAACACTGCGTGCTTCTCCAGTCGAAACTACCACTCAAAAGCTTGTTACACCATCTCATGGTAAATTATGGTTTGAAAAATCTTATGTAGAAATTGAATATTAACCTTCAAATTTGGCTAAATAGAATTATTGGGATTCGAAGAAACCGCAGTAAAACGTGCACATCGACCGATTTATCTCGATATGCAAGCGACAACTCCAACAGATCCCCGTGTTTTGGATGCGATGATGCCTTATTTGACACAACAATATGGTAATCCACATTCAAGAACTCATGCCTATGGGTGGGAAGCGGAAAAAGCCGTTGAACAAGCTCGCGCGGTATGTCTGTCTTATAAGTTAATAATGTGCATGCTACTCTTATTATACATATCATTATCTTTTATTTATTTCTTAGTATGTTGCAGAGCTTATCGGAGCGGATCCAAAGGAAATCATATTCACTTCAGGTGCTACAGAATCAAATAACATGAGTGTAAAAGGCGTCGCTCGATTTTATAAAAGCAGCAAGAATCATGTTATAACGACGCAGATAGTACGTGTTCCGTAGATTATTTGATGATAGTCTTGTTGGGAAACGAGAATTTAATAACAAATATTGGAGTTTCCTTAATATTAGGAGCACAAATGTGTTCTTGATTCGTGTCGTGTATTAGCAGAAGAAAATTTCGATGTGACATATTTACCTGTTCAAAAATCCGGAATTATTAACCTCAAACAACTGGAGGAAACCATACGTCCCGAAACATCTATTGTGTCAATTATGACAGTAAACAACGAAATTGGTGTTATTCAACCAATCGAAGAAATAGGACAAATCTGTCGATCCAAGAAAGTATTCTTTCATACTGATGCGGCTCAGGCTGTAGGAAAGATCCCAATCGATGTTAATAAAATGAAAGTGGATTTGATGAGTATATCGGGTCATAAAATTTACGGACCAAAAGGAATTGGTGCTTTATATGTACGAAGAAAACCCCGAGTTAGATTAGAAGCATTGCAAAGTGGCGGTGGACAAGAAAGAGGCTTAAGGAGTGGAACAGTTCCAACCCCTTTGGTGGTTGGTTTTGGTGAAGCATGTCGAATTGCAAAGGAAGAGATGGAGGTAAGACCATATTCATAAAAAAAGGAATAATTCGAAAGGGAACGTCATTATTACGTTATTAAATGATACTATGAGCCGACCCTGATCCTCCCCCCCCAAAAAATCACGTAATAAATGACACTCCTAAGTACATTTATTTAACGCTAATATTTTCTCTTATAGTATGATTCAGAACGCATTAAACGATTATCTAAGAGATTAGTTGAGGGAATAACTTCAAAAGTTCAAAATGTGGTTAGAAATGGAGATGTGAATTTGACATATCCGGGATGCGTCAATCTTTCATTCGCTTATATTGAAGGAGAGTCACTTTTAATGGCTTTAAAAGATGTAGCACTTTCTTCTGGCTCTGCTTGCACGTCTGCCTCTCTTGAGCCTTCTTATGTATTAAAAGCTCTAGGTGCCGAAGAAGATATGGCACATTCTAGTATCAGATTCGGTATTGGACGATTTACCACTGAGGAAGAAATTGATCTGGTGGTGAATCGAGTAGTTCAACACGTGGATAAATTAAGAGAAATGTCACCACTTTGGGAAATGGTATGAAGAATGTCAATCTTTTGTTCTGTGAATTATACATATTATAAGAAGCTTAATGAACTTTTTATTTAGGTGCAAGAGGGAATTGATTTGAAATCCATTCAATGGAGTCAACATTAAGTTTTATTGTAATTATTTTACCTTAAAAGTATTTTAACTATTCTAAATCGTTGTATGTTTACTTGGAACTATATTTGTGTAATAAAATCAAAATGTATTTTATATATTTGACGAAAATTACGTGTTTTCAATTCAATTCAATTCAATTTAATATATAAATGACGGTCAATTCCCCCCCCCCCCCCTTTTCCATTAAACCGAAGTGGTCGTAGAAAATTTAAGACTTCGATTTATCGAGGTATTATAACGATAACTATTAATAGATCCCATTCCGGTTTAAAGGAGGTTGATCAGATTTCATGTGTAATCGTAATATAGTAAATCATTTACTTGATTGTCGGATTTTTTATTAACGTGCTCGTTATTCAATTTGTACACACGCGAGAATGCTTTCAAGGCTTTTAAGCAGCTTGGCGAGTCAATATATTACAGAAAAAGTAATTATACGATTAAATAGAGAGAATTACTTTTTGTTATATTACTAATAAATGTTTTCAGCTTGTGGCAAGTCCCACTTTTCAGAAATTAGCCAACACGATACACGTATCGGTGGTAAATAAACATGGTAACTATATAATGAATTAATTTATTCACATAGTTTTTTACAAGTCGCGTAAATAATAATTGGTTATTCTTTTTTTATCTTAAAAGTTGTTCCAATGGTTGACCAAGTTTCTAAGCGTATCAAAGAAAACATCGAGAGAGAAATCCGAAATAACATTAAACATTAAATTTCAATAATTTAGCAAATTAATTTTTATATAAATGCCATTACTCTGATAGAATTCCATCCTCTTCTGTAATCTTAAATGTAAATATATTTAAATTAATATTCCCACATATTGGGGTGACTATTCTTCCACTAAACCAAGTATTTCGCAATATTTCCATTCTTGCTTGATCGCAAACAACTTTTGTGGGATGAATCGACACGGGATATTGTGGTAACGGTTGTTTGGCCACAACAAATCGATACTTTACAAATTCTTGCCAGACTCTCGGTGAGATATCTCGATAGAATAACTCGGAAGGAAATGGTAATGATGTCGTGGTGATTATTGGGTTATTCGACATTGTTTCATTGATTCCATTATTAAATTCTGGTAGGGTTAGTGCCCAGTTTGTGGTTATTGTCACAACACTTGACTCCTTAATAACTTGGCGCAATGCTCGTACAACGCTTGAAGCGTAACTAAGACTTGTAGCGGCATTTCCTCCGTTGCCCATTTCCTCCGATTTATCTTGCCAATAAAAAGCCATTATGGAATCAATCATCAAATATTTAAATTCATCATCATTTTCCAGCATATACTCGGGTAGGGATTGTAATGTCGCCAGAAATTCTAATGAAGAATTCGGTTGAAATACATGAACTCGTTGCAATGCCAAACATGCAATTTGAGAAATTTCTTCTTCTGTCGGTAGCCAATCATAATAATGCATGTCAATCGGCATTGATGATCCCATGTTAGTTCTGCTATTATAATCATCATTTGTTCTCTCTCTCTCTTTTGTATCTTCACATATAAATTCTTGAATCTTTTTTCTTAAATTAGCAACAATCAACCTATACACCCTTCGCATATCAAATCTGCCATCAAGATCAATCAATATAATTCCATTATCAGCACCCCCAATGTAGAATTGCTTCTCTTCATCATATAATGTGCCGCCGTCACGAACCCAAATCCTTGGTAGAATAGTTTTGGGTATTAATGAGTATAGAATTGATGATTTACCACCACATGCTGGCCCATAGAACTCAATTACATCTCCGGGTTGTATATATTGACTGTTATATTGATGTTTATTATTAATAGTAATAGTATTATTAAATGGTGTAAAGGAAGAGAAATTTTGAAATTGATGCTCCTTCGTCGTTATTGGATTTTCTTTGAGATATTCAAATGCATTTGCGATGGATTTACCCACAAAAGAAAGACCAAGAGAGTAAGGTTTTATTCCGGTGGCAGGTTTTGGTGATAAATTCATTATCTGAAAAATGAAAAATTCAAGACGCGTCGTTTTCCAATGATAAATTACTTTATAATCATGTGATTTGTATCACTAATGGGAAACTATGTGTTTACGCTCGAAAGAAACTAGGGGGAATGCCACAAATTGAGAGTACGTAATCACAAAGGAGGTGGGTAACCCTTACTAAATTTTTAATATTAAATGGACTTCACATTCACAACACTTTCATTTAAGAATACGCGTTTAAATGAACAAAAAATTTAATTTATGATATACAAAAAAATTTTATAATCCGCTATTTCCGCCAGTCTTTAATCGCATCGCCGCTGCAGACAAATTTTGATCTCGTGTTGCTGCAGTCGACTTTGTAGTAGGCCTCGTCGTTGTGACAGAAGTACTGGGTGCTGTATTGATATTTGCCGCGTCATCCGCAGGAGTAGCAATTATAAATGGCGTTTGTGCTGGTGCGTACGGCAATAAACTACCAAACAGGAAATGTTGCACGACTGGGACCTTTTTCAAAGCTTCATCAACGTACATTTTTAATAGACCGGAATTTATTTTTGCCCAGAGTGGTACGGCAGAGATGTCATAAAGGAGTGGTGAGTGTTCATGAAATGGACCTCTTTTGACCTGTTAATATACTTGTATTATTATTCTAGCAACTTTAAAAAGAATTCTTTAGTTAGTTACCTCCTTAATAAATCTTATACATGCCAAATACATGTATTCATCCCCATAAGCTTCTATTATATCGTCGGAAAGTATAGATTTTGGCTTAATGCGACGATGGTCTAAATTTATTTCCAAAAAAATGTTAAAAATCAAAAAAGTCACGCATCATTAAGCAGATATACCTATTTTTACAAGGATCCTATACCTCTAAGTTGTGCGCTACCCCAATAATATGGCAAGAATTGATGATCGTCCAGACCCCATACACCATGACTTCCTGCTGGCTCCAACATATAGACGCGTTGTAAACGTCGAATTAACTCTAAATATCTTTATATTTATTTGAAAAGAATTGGCGATTTCTTAGAAAGAAAAAGAATTTAAAATTTGAACCTTACCTTACGAACACCTTCAATACCAGAGACGAAAAATCTTCTTGACCGAAAATCCCCAAAAGATTTAGACAGCACAACCACGCGACGAAACTTAATTCGTGCCCACTTCCATAATCTATACGCAAACTATTCCCAAAACTTGCAATGAAACAGGGCACTAATTCAACATTTGCTCGGTGCCATTCCTTTGGTAGAATGCTTTCGTGGATTGACACTGCGTTCTTTATATGCATATATATATATATATATATATATATATATATATATATATATATCTAATAGTCTTAGAATTGATTTATTACTTTATTTTTTCAGAGAAACATATTCTATCAAATGAAAACCTGCTCGAGACGCGACATCCAGTCACGAAAGGCTTTATTACCAAAACGTTGCGGAGTTTTTAGAGGAGGTATTTCATCCACCCAACTACTCATGTTCTCAAGTGCAGCGATAATTTTAGAGGCAATCTTTAACATGTATAAAAAATTTAATATTTTAATTCATAATGATAATGTAAAATAAAATAAAAATATAAACCCGCCTCCGAGAGTTTAACAGGATCGGATATCTTTTTATTCACCACCGAATCATTAAGACTTGTAATGAATGTCAATAAACGAGCATATGCTTCTGACTCGAGCCATTCCTTGATATCACTTTGGTCTGTAATGACTTTTATTGGTTTTACGAATTCGTGTTCTTTATTCACGATAGGTGTGAAATTTGTAGAGTCGGTCGTCGCCATTTTCATAATCATATTGAAGAACTGATCAATTTATATTACGCTGAGCAAATCACGTTATCGAGAATCTGATGTAATACAAGAAACAGGAAGAAACGAAAGTTCGAGATGAAAATCTAGCATGTTAGAAAGATGAACAGTTTCATTCATTTTTCACGTCGTAGTAAGTATCGCGGTTTTGAAAGAAAAAGTATCTACTCTAAATTCTCTTATTTTGATTTGTAGACTTTGGCAGCGTATTAAAATGTTCCAACAGTGATTGTGGTTTTATCCAAAGGGTATTTAATTAATACAAATTCTCAGATTTGGCTCGTTATTTAGTAAAATTAAAATTAAATTTGTTCTTTATCTTTCACTTTAAGCGCAATGCTCATGATATCCTGATAAGGGAAAGGACTGGGAAGCCAATAATAAAATATGGCCCCGGTGGTCGGTGAGTTAAATTTGATTTCGAATTTAGGAAATTCTTAGAAATTTTATATCGAACGTCTTTGCAAATTTTGAAAATAGATCTTCAGTAAGTGGTCACATAGCTACAGTATTTGGGTGTACTGGCTTTCTTGGACGATATCTGGTAGCTAAGCTTGGTAGGTGATAAGGGTATATTAAGAATATATTAATATGTTGATCTATTCATTCATTACTCTGATGATTTTTATTAGCTAAACAAGGGACTCAAGTCATTATCCCTTTTCGAGATGAAGATGAAAAGAGACATTTAAAAGTTAATGGAGATCTCGGTCAAGTTGTTCCAATAGTAAGTAATTAATTGTTAGATTTTGAGTAGGAATTTTTTATGCTATTACAATTTTCTTATTTTATGATCCTTCTATTTTTTTTATCAATATTACAGGAATTTGATCTTCGAAACACGGATGCGATTGTATCGGCTGTGAGACATTCAGATATTGTGTATAATTTAATAGGAAGAGATTACGACACAAAGTAATTTTGCTTCTTTTATTAATTAACCATTACAATGATAACAATGATAATTTAAAAAAAAACGAATATAATGAATTTATAGGAATTTTTCATATGAAGCGGTCCATGCAGAGTATCCAGCAAAAATTGCAGAGATATCAGCGGAGCAAGGAGTATCACGATTTGTTCATGTCTCGGCACTAAATGCTGACGCAAGATCCACGTCGAAATTTTATAGGTCAAAGGTGGCTAATTTTTTTCTCTCAAATCATAAAAGCAAATGTGAAAGAACTCTCAGCAATTTCCTGCATATCGTTGCTTATCCTGATGATGACTTTTTTATTATTATTACATTCAAAGCATAGGCCTTAGGCGAAAGGCTGGTGAGAAACGCTTTTCCTGATGCAACGATCGTTCGACCTGCTTATCTATTTGGGCCGGAGGATCGATTTTTGAATAGGTTGGCAGGTGAGATCCTTTAGAATTCAGAAAATTTTTTGACCTTTTTATCGATATTTTTGTTACGGATTTTTATAGCAACTGGTGGATGGGAATTATTAATAAGACATAATGATGCAGTTGTACATCCTGTGAACGTAAGTAAACTTGTCCTCGCAGCTTAGATTATAAAATTACATATTAATGCTAAAAAAAAATATATATTTTTCAGGTAATTGACGTTGCGAAAGCTCTTGCAATGATGCAAACCTCCGAATCAACAGCGGGAGAAACATACGAGTTGTACGGTACAAAAGGGTACACGTTTACCGAAATTTATGATTTCGTCGGCGAGGTTACAAAGAAAACGAACACTCGTGTATACATTCCCAAATCAATTGCACTCTTATACGCGCGGCTTCAAAACAGCTTACTTCCATGGGCTACGATCTCTCCCGACGACATTGAACGAATGACAATCTCTGATAAATTTTCAGAGGATGCGAAAACTTTTGGAGATTTAGATATTGAGCCGGTGTCTTTGGAGGCGGCTGCTATTACGGTTCTTCGACGATTCAGATATAATGTCTATTTTGATGCACCACCTGATGAAGTCGAGGCGGCGAAAGCTACGCTTAAGAAGCGTAAAGTTCCTTTTATTCATACATAATAAGTAAATGACTATTTAATTGATTGATAAATAAATTTTGTTGTGTCAAAATTATTAAAGGTGTTTTTGTAAATATTGAAAAGAAAGTTCAATAAAAATAACATGTTTTCTTTAATAACCATACCAACTTGTGAGTGTAAACGATCAATCTGCCAATCGGTTAATCTAAATGATAGGATCAAAAGTGATTCTTTGGAGTTTCTTTAATTTTGTTTTGATGAAGTCATTCAAATTTAATCCAATTGATTGATCCTTTTGTTTCTAGCAAAGTTCCTCTCTCTTTTTGCGCTTATATACTGTACTAGGATCAAAATGATTGAATTTAGTACCAGTTTTCAACGTAATGCTCCCGTTTCTCCTTATCAAAGATTGACTTCTGTTATTTTATTATTAACGGATCCTTAATCATAACTGATTCGTGAAATTCGGTTAATGTGTTCTCAATCTGACAACCTATTTCTAATGTTCGTATTATTTAAAGGCTCATTGAAATTGCCATAATACAAGAAAAAATATAGGGTGCTTTTCAATTTTAGCTTAGAATATTTTTGAAAGCACGCTATTTCAAAAACTTTACTACTAGTCAAATAAGTGCTCTGATATTATACTTTTTGATTAGTAACGGTAATGAATGTATGTGATCAAGTATGCTAAATTCGGTTTATTTATTTTTTTACGATGAATAAGAATCCAGCTATTATTAGTCTATCCACTCTGTCCATATTTGAATTGCAATAATAGCCATAACAATATTACGTATTATATACCTGTAAATATTTATATTTTTTTTTCAAATATTTGGTTTATGACGAGGAATAGAAATGTGATCAGCTTATTGTTAGTAAAGTAAAAAAAGAAACCGATACTATTCACTTTTAATGGACAAAAGCACATGAAAAACTGGAACGATAAAAAAAAGGTGTTTTCTTTGATACACAAAGTTAAAGACTTTACAATGAGTTTTACCATATTACGTATGGAAGAAATTCACTTTCTGAAATCATTTGTTCGTCAGTATAGAAAATGCGGCATAAAATAATTTGGCGTTAACGGATTTTTTAAACTTGATTTCATTGTCAAAATATTTTTTTCACGCGATCTATGGTTTTCCTGTTTGTTCTATAAGTGATGCATATAGATTGATTGATCACTATTGTAATCCGACATGACTATGAGCCAGGTGAGAACAAATGAGAAAATTTGTTTGCGAAATCTAAATATACATATCGATAATGTATTGTAAGTAAATTCTTTTTGACGACAACATAAATGAATAAACAATTTCATTTAATTCGAATCGTTATTAAAACGTAAGGAGAAGAATTAAAAATAGATTTTAATAGTTAAAATTTAAAACGTATTGATGTATTACACACATCTCTATGCGCATATATACATGTATAAATACGCAGATTTGAATAGGTTTCTTACTGGCACCTTCGCCTATTTAGGTATGCAAAATCTTTTGGTATTATATTTGGCTCACGTTATTTTCGGCGCTCCTTTGAACCTTATCGCTAGAGTAATTGTGTGCCATTTTTAATTTTCCCCGTTTCAATTTTCTTTTAAATAGAACCTTTGATTGCCTATTTCTAGGTTTTAAATGAGGGAAAGAACCGAGATAAATTTTTCCAAACGGTCATCTATTTAAAAGAAATAGCTAGCATTGATGAAAGAGGGTACTGTTTTTTTTATACGGGGAAAATAAAAATACACAAGAGACACAGACACACTCAATCACCGTATATGGTAATAATATATTCATCGGTGGGTTAATTAAAATATATACGTATATATTTATTATTTGCGGTTCTTCATAAATATAAATAACGATAATCACTAATTTAAACAAAACACTGTACTTCACATCTGCATATCCAAAGAACTTTCAGAACCTTTTTTATTCGTCATCCGCATCATTGTGTGTACATGTATGTCTTAATAATATATTGCGATCAATTTTTACTATCGTTATTATTGTTTTTTTTTACACCCCGTCAAATTCTTAATTGTACAAAAGCACACGCACACAACACGTACTCCCTCCTACAACAATAATGAACATAATAAATATATATAGTAATACCCATAGTTCGTATTTATATTAGTATAATAATAATAGTGCATATTTGATTCATGCTATAAAAAGCAAAGAGCATGGCATTCGCGTAGAAGTCTACCTTTTTTTTTCCTCTCCTCTTTTGACGACGTCTTTTTGACATTACGTGCAAAAAAAAGATAGGCGCCACGGCGACGATTCAAATTAACGTTGATTCAATAAATAAATAAAAAAGGGAATATAATAAAAAAAACAGCATATAACAACCACCACAGTAAAAAAAAAACTATTAAAAAAAAGGATTCTCACAACAAGTAAATTGCTCTCGTTTCATAACATATTTGCTCACTCTCCCGCTTTTTACTTGCTGTGGTCAGCGTGTGCGAACGAAAGGGAAAAAAATAGGCTTTCTTCTAGAAACGTATATTCATCACGGTACTCGATATCTATGTGTCAATTAGCATAAAAATATAAAAAATTATAATATTAGGTTGACCGTTTTAGCATTTCATTTATTATTTCAAAAATTTTTGGTATTGAGATATTATTTTTTTATGAGTTTGAATTTGTTTTTCATCCATCTATATATAAAGTGTATTTGATTCTTTAAGTGTAATAGTTTCTGATAGTTTTTTCCTTTTACATTATCCACGATAACAACAACAACAACAACAACAACAAAAACTACTCTCAGGAAAAACAGCAGCAGTAGCGCTCAGCATGAATTAATAAGTAGCGTCCAAAAAACATAATTCGATTCTATTAATTATTAAATTATTTTTTCTTTAATTATTTTTCAATTGATCTTTTTTCTAAATTAAATAGCATTCATTCTGGGGATTTCAACAAAATAGTGTGTGACAGATCATGAAAAGGACAAATAGCCGTGTAGGCGGCTATTCGATTAGTTACAATGACATCGTCGATCATGACGATGTTGCTGATGCACAGATTAGCAAACAAAGAATAAGGACGATGAATCGGGATGGAAGATTTAGAATAATTAATTTCGCACAAGTGATGTTGGTGATAATGTCGACTTTAATATTTAGTCTAGTTTCTGGATCACAAGTCCCTTATAATTATTTTCCTCAAAATCAGTATCAACCACAACCACAACCATATCCACAACAATATAATACTAATGGGAATAGTTGGAGTACTAATGGGAATAGTTGGGGTTATCAAGGACAATATTATTCAAATGACGCACATCCACCACCTCAACAATCTTTTCCAAATAATTATAATGGACCAAATAATTATAATGGACCAAATGATTATAATGGACCAAATAATTATAATGGACAACAACCACCACCGCAACAACAACCTTTTTTTATACCTAATAACGTTGAAAATTCATCATCAGATCCACCATCATCATCGTCATCATCAGATTCATCTTCAACTTCACCCTCTGTATCGTCACCGGCATCATCAACTTCGTCAACCCCAACGCCAACGGTAGAAGCTAATAAGAATTCGTTGCCAAACAAAGAAGTCACCAATACTAATTCACCAGTTAAATCAGAAGATGAACTCAGTGATTCAACATTTTCGTCGTCAACAACTACCCCACTAGTAATAGCAACAGCCACATCAGAATCACGTCCAATGGGACTAACGAAACCAGCACTTATCGGATTAATTGTTGGTATAAGTACAAGTGGACTAATAATCATTTCGGGTCTAATTATTTGTTGTTCAAGACGAAGAAATCGAAATCGATCAGTTAAACCGGCTGAATATCGAGCATTAAAATTAACGGTCGAACCAAAGAAATCCTTTGAATCGATTACCTCATCCATAGGAAAGCGGAAGAAAGATCGTACTCCTACAACATTATTGCCCGCACGTGAATTATTATTCCCAACTCAAATGTCTGCTGCACATCATAAAACCATTTATGGTGCGAAGAATGCTGATACTCCGGTTTGGGATGTTAAAAGTGATATCGAAAGACGCAGTACAATTAGAATACCAAAAACCAGGAAAACGTGGTTCCCCGCATTAACAACCAGAACTCAAGCTCAAAATGTGAAAAAGGCGGCAGAAAATAAGGAAAAACAGTTGGCTGATGACAAGAAAACTGAACGTGCCAGAAAAACTACCTCATGGTTGGCCGCATTTAAGAAAAGTAGTGGAATTGGTGAAGCGGATATCACATCATCACCCTCATTAGGAGTTGGTAATACTTTATCAGTATCACCACGAAGTATGACTCCTGAAGATCTTTCACCAACCATGCCAAGTACAGCCGCAAGGAGATCAATGAGTCCACGGACAACTCCAAAAACAAGTCCACGTGCAAGTCCTCGTTCGCTAAGTCCAGAGTTAAATGTTGTTGATGTTCCTGCCGCGGAAAATGCAAAAAAAGCATTTTTAGCTGGTCTTGATTTAAGAGATTCACGTAAACCAAAAACTCCAATTACAGCAACAACACCAACAATCAATCCAATTTTACCTGAGTCACAGTCAACAACAAGATTGACAATTAAATTGGGTCAAGGAATTGAGAGAAGAGATGTTTCATCTTCTGGCACTGTTTCTCCTCCATCCAGTAATAGAAAATCATGGCATCCCGGGATGGCGAATGTTTCTGATGATCAGCAGCAACAAGCAGCAAACATTCCAGTTCCACCAGTTCCTCCAATGCCAAATACAAGTAATTTAGGAGGGGATTTACAAACAACAGCTGCCCGCGGTGGCAGACTTTCTTGGAATCCGACTGTAACAAGACGTGAAACATTACGAGGAGGTGGGGGTGCAGGTACAGGCAGCGGAAATCCTTCTTCGGCAACCACTGCAAGCATTAATGCAAGAAGATCAACGAGACGTGCAAAGAAGGAAGCAGCGGCTGCCGCAGCAGCAGCGTCGAATGAAAATTTATCGGTAACATCTGATACCTCTTCAGATGGAGGATCAGGAACAAACATTTTAAACACCGGTAGTGGTGGAAATAACACAACGCTACACCTGAAAAGACAAAGTTTATTCGGTGAAGGTAGCGGAATGATGGAAATGGATTTGGAAAGATCTTCGAATTTAGATTAGACTATTATTATTATTGTTATTTAGTATAATTGTTATTCTATTCTTGTTAATTATTATCAATAGTCATCATTCTCCCTCATTCTGGTATATACATACTACACATCTTCATCTTTACATTATTTTGTTGTTTAAAAATTTTGTAGTTTATTGGGCTTTCTTGGTTTATTCTATTTTTTTATTCGAATTATATATCGATTGATTTATTGAATAGGGAATATTCAAATGAAAAATTGTGAAAAAGGCTAAATGAGAAATAATAATATACAAAGAATCGAAATGATTTCTAGAAACTTGAAATGTTATTTTAGTTGTTAATGGATCTTTTGATTTCCTATTCTTTCAATCAATTGTTATTATTAAAAATTTCATATTGTATTCTATTTTTTTTATGAGGATTTTCTGTTTTCGTTTGGGAAATTGTTTATTATTACATATACATACATAAAGGTACAGCTATTATTATTTAATTTAATTTGGTGTAAAAAAAAGACTGCGAACGTGCATATTTAATTATTCTCTTTTGAGTAGTGATGTTCCGGCAGTAATCTTTATATAGAACTTTTAATTATGATAAAGCGATATATATAGAAAGAAATAATTCACCCGATTATTTGATCTGTCTAAGCCATGGCCATTCATACTCTTTTTTTAGACATATTGATGTAAATTAAAATAAATTTAGTTAATCTTTGGCTTATACATTCTGCAAGTTTCTATCCCTTTCCAAGTATTCTTGAATTTCTTTTTCGTTCATTATGTCATATTTTTTTATGTTCCCTATTAAATCTTGTGTAAAAATCTACCTAGTATTTTTACAACCCTTTAAACTATCCAGTGAATTATTTGACGAAAATTAAGGGGTAGCCGATTTAGAGGTTGAAAATTTGGATGATTTAATATTCGTGTTCATTATATCAAAGTCTTCGTTAAATAGAGTTCGAATATAAAATGAGCCGGAAACAATCCATTACATTAAGGCTCGTTATATCGAGATTTGACTATAATGACATTTTTCATTAACCACTATCCGTTCTATTAATTATGCGTTTTGTGAAAAACATCATGGGTCTTCCCGTATGGATTTCCTGATAATAAGGGTAAAACAAATACAATTGAAATGTCGTTTCTCTCTTTGTACTTACCATGTTGTTTTCCGATTCTTCTTAATAAGATATGAATTTCTCGGGTAAAAGATTTTACTATCCATTAAAAACCGAACCTCTTTTTATTTTTTAGCAGAACCATCAGTTCGTTATAGAAAGAATTGACTGTATATAATATTTCGATGTGAATTGGTTATTTTCTGTATTTCAAAGAACTTTCAAGAGGATTCAGTTGAGGCAGAGTCTCAAATTAGAATTAGAGATTGGTTGATTTCTTAAGATCTATATCGTAAAATCGATTAAGGCTCGATTATACAATTTAATGATTAAATACCGTTGCAATAATTGCTTATCAATGAAAATCATATATAAAGATTCAAATCAAAAATCGTAAACTACGTCTTTCCTCTCCTTATGTATTTATCCGCACACCAAACAACTGAGAAACTTGGTATCTCATCAGACACCCTGCGTCGATGGTTAAAGCAAGGAAAGATTACAGCTAAAACGTCTCCTGGCACTCGTCTTTACAACATATCCTCTATCATCATCGCCACCAAAAAAGGGTTCCTCTATGCTCGGATCTCTAGTGTCAAGCAAAAAGAGGATCTTGAATGACAGAAACAAGTTCTCAGCTCCCGCTTTCCAACCTACGAACTCATCAGCAATATTGGATCAGGTGTCAACTTCAAACGGCCAGGTTATTGGAACAGACAGATCACGAAATGGTCTCAGAAATTGTGATTACTCATTGTGACTGACCCTGCCACTTTGTCTTTGATCTCATCCAATATATACTCTCCCTTCATACTACAAAACTTGTGGTTCTCTTCGATGATGTGATCTCTGATGAACACAAACTTTTCCAAGATATTCTTGCAAACAGTTTTTATTTGCCAAATGCAAGAAAGAAGAGTTGATGAGAATGTCAGGCTAGAAAAAAAGTGCAAGACAAAGATCAAAATAACATCAATATGCAACAAGTAACACTTAAAATCACTCTCAATTATACATTGCTAATCAAAGTATATTTAAATCACTTTCAAAAGTTAGTTATTGAAATATTAGATAGACTTGATGAGATATATTTATAATATATTTGTTTGCTAAAGTTGATATTATTACTTCTATATCAAGAATTTATATATTGATCTATCACAATGAATTTGAGTAAAATCTTAATCTATTGAAGATAAACTTAAATTTTATATGAATATTTATATAGAAAAAAATGTTAATGAATATGAGAACAAGAAATTTCAAAATTATATGTATGAAATAAATATAAATTTATATAAACTAATATGTATATTGAAATATTACTTTAAGATATATATAATAAAACATTTGTAATATTATTAATAAAATAATTAATGAAGTATTAATTATTAGATATGATTATTATTTTTATTTTTATATTTTTATTTTTTAAAATTTTTTTTTTCAATTAATTTTAGAAATAAAATTATTAATCTTGATATAGAATCAAATATAAATCAATAAGATTTATTTTTATCATTTTAATTTTAAAAAGATTTATAATAAATAATAATAATTTATTCATAAAATTTTTTAAAATTCATATAAAATTACTTTTATATTATTTATCTTCAGAATTTATTAATATTTTTCACATATTATTATAAGTTTATTATTATTTAAATTATAATAAAATATAATTTTTCATTTTTCATTTTGAAAAAAAGATATAATAATAAGTAATCTATTTCTTATAAGATAATATCTATTATACAGTAACAATCAAAAATAATGCAACACTTAAATTTTTTACTAATTATAATTAGTAAAAAATTTAAGCATTGCATTATTTTTAATTGCCACTATATATATTTATAGAATTAATATAATAAAAATTTTTATAAGTTTATAAAATATAAAAATAATTTTATAAAATTTAAATAAATAGTTTTATTCATATAATTTTCATTAATCTTAATATTTATATATTTTTTATATAATACTTTTTTATTAAAAATATAGATAAAATTAATTAATAAAATATTAAATAGCTATTTATTTATTTAAATATATAAATAGTTTTTATTTTATAAAAAATAAAATAATTATTTCTAATTTAAAATAAAAAGATTTTATAATTTAATATAGTTTAATATAAAAGATTAAGATATTAATATAAAATTAATAATTATTTTTAATAAAAATTATTCAAATTTTAACTAATTTTTATAATTTTTTTATATTAAATAAAAAATAATCTAAATTAACTTTTTATATTATTTTAATTATTCTATTATATTTTAATTTAATAATAAATAAAGTATTACTATTACAAGTTATATTTATTAGACAAAAAAATTAAATTAAATATTAATATTATATAAAATAATAAAAATATTGATATCTTTATTATATAATAAAATAAGAATCTATTAACATATATTATATAAATTTTATATTATTTGAATTAAAAATTATAAATTTTTTATTAATAATCTTAATATTATATTGTATTATCTTTATTTTTAATTATAATCTAAACTTTTTATATCATACCTTCATTAATATTTCTTAATACTCATATCTATTTTTACTTTTTCTTTTTTTAAAATCATAAATAATTTCTGCTTATTTTTGAAATAAGACTATCTTTTGCAAACTATTCTTTCTAAATAATTCTAAATATACTTAATTAAATTAAGATCTAAATTCTGAATAGATCATAAAAATAAAGTAATTAAATTTTCTTTTTTTACTAATATATCAGTCTTAATTGATAAATTAAATAATTATTATCTATCAATTTTATTTGTTTACAGAATAATAAAATAAAGTATAATTTTATTTAAATTTTTTTAACTAATATATAGTTAACAAGTAATTATACTATTGGATATTAAATTAAAAAACTTTAATAATCTTATCTTTAAAGAAGCTCTTATTAAAAGGATATATAAGTTAATTAATAAACTTAAGATTATAAAAAAGTTAACTTTAAATAATATTTAAGAGAAATAATTTAGATAAAAAGAATGATATGATAAGAAATAAAAGTTAATAATTTTTCAGATAGGACAAAAAGTATTAATAAAATAAATAAAAATTTAATACTAATATCATAATAAATTTGATAAAAAATAAAAAGAATTATTTTATATTCATAAAGCTTATAATAAAAATACTTATAAACTTAAAAATTAAGATAAAAAAGTCTTGAAGAATTCTTATAATAGTAATTATTTAAAATTATATATCAAATTTAATAATTTAGAACTAGTTATTATAATTAATAATAATTAAAGATTTATAAAATAAATCTTTTAAAGCTGAAAATTCTATAACTAATTAGCTATTTCAAGTAATATAATAAAATAATACAATAGAATAATATAGTTATAGTATATAATATAGCTATTAATTACTTTTAAATTAGATATACAAGAAATTAATAATTTAATTTTATTTTTAATTTATCTTATTATCTATATTTAGTCTTATTTATTTATTAATTTAGCTATATATATTATATCAGAAAATTTTTTGAGGAGATATTCATCAAGAATCATCACTATATCTATAAAAATTGATAAATATCTTGATAATAATTAATGACTCTGATAATCTTTAATAAATATCCATATCAATAATAATTAATCATTATTAATATATTATTTATTAATATATAATAATATATTGATCATTATCATAATATATTATTTATTAATAATAAATAATAT